AGGACCTTCATGTAGGTGGCCAGGCATCTTGCAAATTTGGGACACTAGCACCTCTTACTTGTGGTGTTGTAGGCATTCGAGTAGGGGTGTGTTTCAAGAACTGTATAGTCCTCAGAGAGGGGTTTCAGATGAACAATTAAGAAGTTAATTGCTAGATGCTCTTTATATATTAGGAATGTAGCATGTACTTGGATTTTTTTATCATGTTTTGGACCTATGTAAATGTCTGTCCTTCCCTGCCCCCATTTCAAACTCTGCCCTTGTCACTGGAGTGGAGGGAAAGCTGCTCTGCTCCTTCCCTTCTAGAGTGCTCCAGATACTCAGGGGGCAAGTGGGGTTAATGGTTAATTATGTGAACACTCTGAGTCGTGGGAGGAGGGGTTTCCAGTTATTCTTCTTGTCCTCTTTCCAGTTGTGCATGGCTCAGCTAAGTGTGACGCCCTGAAGTCTCTGTGCTCTAAGGAGAGCTCTGAACGATAGCAGCAAAGATGATGGTGCTGCTGAATAGGGAGAAACATGTAACATACATTTCTGAAGACACAGGAGAGGACAGAGCATCTTGCAGAGCCACTTGCTATTGGCATTCTGGCCAGTCTCTTCATGTTATCACCAGAGACATTAAGCCAGATAAGAAATTGGTGGTTTAGAGTGTACTGTTGATACAATTTCTCGCTTTTAAAACACAGATGGAGATATCGGTTCTTGGTTTTCCCTGTCTTTGACTTAAAGTAGCAAGGCTGATGCAGTCACTGTGGTTGAACTTTTCTTTTACTTTGCTGTAGCAGCATCCTGCCAGATTAATCAATTGTGAAGTTTTTTATGACTGTTGTTGAAATACCTTAGTTAAAATTGAAGGTTTCGTGCTACCCTAACACAGATACTGACATAGCTTTAAAAATTAAGTTCTATGAACTATTAGTTGAGATTAAATTTCCCTTATATAGTGTAGCTTCTCTCTTATTCTTTTTTTTCTGCTGAGCTGCAGCAAGTGGCTGGTTTCAGATCACTTTTAGTATTAAAATTTCTCCTAGCTAGACCTCTGCAGCTGAGTACTTTTCCGTAGAGCCTGATGCTTGAAGGCTGAGCTCCTTGTCTAGATGTAATTTGCTCTTTTTCTTTCAGGGCCAGATATTTGAAACGTACAATATGGCTGCCTTATGGAAGTTGCCTTGTGTTTTTATCTGTGAGAACAATCGGTATGGAATGGGAACTTCGGTTGAAAGAGCTGCAGCCAGTACTGACTACTACAAAAGAGGAGACTTCATTCCAGGGCTCAGGGTGAGTACAGTCACAGCTTTCTTTGAGGGCGGGTTGAAGTAAGGGGATGTGCGTGCACACACCTGCCCAATACATAAATATGTATGTATTTCTTTTATTTATGCATATATTTATAAATATTTTTTTAAATATGGGAACATTTGAAACTGAATTCCTGTTGCACTTGTGGAAGTACCGAAATTGGAAGTTTGGGGTTTCGCATTTTTTTTGCCTCAACTTGTAGTTTCTGTTTATCAGGTGGATGGCATGGATGTTCTCTGTGTTCGAGAAGCGACAAAGTTTGCAGCTGAGTACTGTAGAGCTGGAAAAGTAAGTCTGTAATTGTCATTCCTTTTCCATAGGTGAAATTCTTAGCCAGATTATTGCTGCATAAAAATTTCCTTATCTGGCCCATTTTTTTTCCAGTCACTGTTGAAACTTTTTGACCTTTAATTTATTTTTTTTTTCTCCACGGTATCGATCCCGTAAGCAATTGAGTTGTTCTTGAATTTTGTTAGAATTTAGTAACATGCAATTGGTGTTAACCAAGCATTTAAAAAAAAAATATATATCCTATATATATATCCTGATACTCTGTCATCTTTTTTGCCATTTCTACCCCAGTTAAGTTCTGTTGTGAGAGGTGTTCTGACTGTCAGGCAGTTGTGTTCTTTCTGAATAGAGATGATGTTTGCGCTGGGAATGTACAACAGGAAAAGAAAAAGGTTAATAGGGAGGAATAAGGTTCTGTGAGTTATAATCTTACAGTGAAACAAAAAGCAATTTGAAATAGTCTGAGTAATGGTGGAATGACAGTGGAAGGGAAGAAATTGTTTAATGCTGCTCAATAAGAACATGAGAATAAATGCTTACACTATCAACGTATGCTTTCATTCGAAAAGAGTTAAGTTTCACTTTACTCATTGTGATAGTGTTATGTAAATTAAACTGAGAAGAAACATTGAATTAAAATAATTCATCATTGGTGCAATTCACTTATAGCAAATACTTGCTGCTTAACAACAAATTGGTCACTCAAGGTGGAAACACTCGCTGTACTGTTTTTTCTTTTTAAGGGTCCTATTCTGATGGAGTTACAGACATACCGTTATCATGGCCACAGCATGAGTGACCCTGGAATAAGGTACTATGACATTCTTTCTTGGCATTCACTGAAGACAAATAAGTATTGATGGTCAAAATCCTGAAACTCTTAGATTCAATGTTTAAATCCATTGTGAAGTGCATATAAAAGTTTTGATGAAATTGCTATGAGCAGTCTGATCACTCAGTTGATAATCTGTGGCCATGTAACATACTTGTTTTACTTGCAGTATTAAGAGATTTAGTTTTAGAACAAGCACAAAGTCAGTTAAACTCTGTACTTTCTGTTAAGGTCACACTGAAAGCAGAATTCATTATGGTGTGTTCAAATTAAGCTTTGACTGAAAAGCAGCATCTTTTTAAAAGTATTTAAAATCCTGTAGGCTAAAGTTATAGGGACAGTTTGGACTGTCCAGTCCAGTGGAACACATCTTAAATACAAATGTACAGGTTCCAAAAAGACTTGGGCATTGTGCCAGCTGACAGATCTGAATTGATCTCCATGAAGTAGATGTGTATCCCAACGCTTCAATGGAAACTTATAGTGAATTGGAAACATGCAGCAAGTCACCAGCCCCACTCAGGGGGAGATGGGAAGGAGGAAATATGACCCCACGAGGTAACTGTGTCAGGCTGGGTTTGCTCCCCTTTGCCTGTCTACGTTATACTCGAGTCTGGAGATACTTCAGCTTGGTTGCCGCTTACAGACCTAAGTGTTTTAGATGTAGTCTGTGCCATCCTTTGAGTGGTAAATATTGCTGTATTTTTCATTGCATTCCTGACAATTCTTTAGTTACACCTTTTTTTCCGAAAAGAAAGTTCATGTCTTTGCTTGTCTTGCTCCTAGCTATCGTACTAGAGAAGAAATTCAAGAAGTGAGAAGCAAAAGCGATCCCATTACTTTGCTGAAGGACAGAATAGTCAACAGTAACCTTGCTAGCATTGAAGAATTAAAGGTATGACTTTTAGTTGCTACATAAGCAAGCTCTTGAGCATTCACACACTAATGATCTCTGAAAAGCACATCACAGGGCAGCATGCATCACTTGTTCTTTGAAGTTCTTTAAAGTTTGTTTTAACATCACTTTTATTAGTGAAGATGAAGTTTTGTTGCAGACCAGCTGATGAAGTTGCACTCTGCTGGAAAGGCCTTTTTCTTTTGGGTGCTGAGTGTAACTCAGTGGTGCAAGCCTGTGTGTATGGGTGTTAGTCTTTCAAATACAGCTCTTACCAGATACTAACATGTAGAAATCAAAATTACCCAGGCTTTCTCGACTACCTAGGAAGGGGGTAAGTGTCTGATCCATAGTGAATGATCCTAGTGAAGGAGTGAGGAACCCTCTAAGCAAATGTTGCAAGTACTTTCATCAACTGGGTTTAAAAAAAAATTGATACTGACACTCTGTGTTTTGCAGAGTCAGAATTGAAAATGTAGAGGTTCCATGGGGCAATAATTTACCGGTACTATCCAAAAGGGACACATATTGCAGTTTAGTTGGGAGGGGGTTTTTACAGGTTTTTACTTTATGTTTGTAGACAGTGTTAACACTAATTCTGACCAATACTTGATCATTGTGTTTAAATTCAAAATTATGATACTTTTTCTGAGCTGTCTTGTAATAAGCGTCCATTTTTGGTTTAGGAAATTGATGTGGCAGTAAGGAAGGAAATCGAGGAAGCTGCTCAGTTTGCTACCACTGACCCAGAGCCACCATTAGAAGAATTAGGTAACCACATCTACTTCAATGAGCCACCCTTTGAAGTGCGTGGCCCAAACCAGTGGATAAGGTACAAGTCTCTCAGCTAAAGGCCTTTTTGTTGGCATAACTTATTCATAAGAATAAGTGAATGTATTTACAGGAACTATAATGACTCAGAAACAACCTTAAGCTTATTTAAAAGCTTTGAAAAAGAGGAAATGTACAGGGAAATCCACCTCAGTGTGGATTTTCTTAAACATGCTGAATGTTGTTTCAGAAGGAGCTAAATTGAGAGAAAGTAGCAGTTTATTTAAATTGCTATCTGTTTGCTTTACTGACTCTTTGGATTGCTGTATGTGTTATGTACAGTGTGTTAAAAAAAAAAAAATAAACTTTAACAACATTTATCTAGTGGTCTGTTTGCTTTGTTTCTTGATGAACCACTTTCCCCCCAAAACACCAAAAAAGGTCTTTAGGTGCCAAGTTTTTGCTGCAGAAGTTACTAAATGAAAACATCACAGCAGGGTTTTCTTAGTAACTCAGTGAGAGTAGCTTTAATATAGAAAGCTATATCCATTCCTCTCTGAAGAACTGACATATGCACTAGCATATCCCCTCCCTGCTAATCCATCAGCCAGCAGAACTGTAACACATTAAGTTCACAGTTTTCACAGTGCTAAAGCCAATTCAGGTGTGTGGTACCTGTTTTGCAGAAAAGGTTTGTTTTTTTCTCAGCTAAGGCTTTGTATTGCAGTGATAGGCATTTGACTTCTGCATTACTCTGTCATAAATAAAGTGCAATGACATCGACTTAAAAGCTGTTACTATTCACTGTGTATTACACTGATGGTCAAACAAGCTACGTAATTGTGCAAAACCTGCAAGGCCACTGTATGTCCATATATACATCTAATAATTTAAGTGTTAGGAATGTATCTTTCACTTGCTTATTCCCATTTCACGTTCTCCTTCCGAAGCTTTAACCTTCTGCTCTGAGGTCTTACCAGATGTTTGTCGGTGGTTTAATATTGCATTCCAAATTCTGCAGAGAAGACCACCGCTGTATGAAGAGGAATGGAGAACAGTTAGGGGAAAACTCCCTCATCTCTCAGTACTTTAAAGAAAGCAAGAAACAAAACCTAGAAAGCCCCAGGATATGCCAGTTATGACAGCGCATAGAAATATATGTAAAACAGAATGATGATGAAAGGACTTGAATCAAGGGGTAGGAAAAATAAGTTCTTTATGCCTGTTTTCCATATCATTACATCATCCTGAAGGGTGCAGAAATAGCTCTCACCCTTGATAAATGCTGAAACTTAGATGGGTTGAAGCACCCTAGGTGTAGTTGGTACACTGTAACAGCACATCAGAGCTGAAATTCACAGCAGTTGCTCCTGACCTATTACTGACCTGTTTTTGAATATCCTAACTTCTAAAAAGGTTTTTTTACAAACTACTTAAGCTCTTAACAATGAACTAAGAAGTACGTACTTACCGCAGTTGAAGATAGTGCAAATCATCTTTAGTGATATCATTAAGGACAGCACTTAGTGTATAATCTTCTTCAACAAACTAAAAGGCAAATTTATTCCTAAATTAATATTCCTTTTTTGAAACTAAACTGCTAATTATGACTACAATGACCTTTTCTTAAAAGGTGATTTTTTTTTGGTTTTAATTTTTTTTTTTTTTTACCCGCTTAATGGTATCCAAGTCTGCTCCTTGTTGTTTCAGCCAGTTCATGAGCTCAGGGTCTGCATTCTCTCTAAAAGTTGCTGCAGACCATTGGGAGTCTTTAACAGAAAACAAATGTATAGGTTAATATACCTCAAAAGGAGGGTAAAAGCAGTGTTTTTCAGACTACTGAAGCTTAAAGTAGATGGTCTTTTATCGTTTAAACAAACATGGGATCCATTATATTTGTCTGCAACTGTCAAAAGTTGCAGTATCTCCTCATACCTTCGGGTTTAAATTTTAATCGAAGCAAGCGTAATTCCTGAGTTTTTCGCTCCAAAGATTGTCTTAAGAGGGTCTGATACTCTTTCTCCTTCTGAATGAGGTTTTCCAAAAGCCTGTTAGCATGTGAGAGAGAGCAGATACAACCATACCGATAGTAAGTCTAGCTGAAAAAAAATTTGTCTTTTTTAATGACTACCAAAGGATAGATAGATACTCTCTTAAGTAATGTATTTTATGGCTTGCAGATTTCGTGCACTTTAAGGCTTTCATCTTTGCAGAATTTAGTAAAGAGCTTGTAAATTCTGTTCCTATTGTTTTGCAGGCAGAGTTGCTGCCTTTATACTGTAATTTACTGCTGAACAGTATGACACTGATGTTTTAGCAGGGACTTTCTGATCACAGATTTACATCATATCCATAAAGAAGAATGGCGTCTTCAGCTGTTGTTAATGCACTGACAGCAGCCTACAGTTGTAACCCATGAGAAACAGGACAAGGGCTCTGCTGAGCTCTGCTTCTACTAATTTATGGGCAGCCTGGCCCGTGGACCAAGGCAGAACTGCTCTGGCCTTTCCTTGCAGGAACAGCTTTGAGGGCACTGCCTCTGGGTCAGGTGGCATCCAAGGAGCAAAGGAAGGAAGAAGGAAACTGGCACTGTTGCACAAGCCTAATTACTTACCAGTAGAAATCCAACATGACATTCTACAATTGAAAAAATGAATTAGAAACAAAAGTTATACTGAAGACTGTTGAGTTGTCATACTGGTGCTGCCTGCGTATTCTGAATCCATTTGTGTTCTTGGAAGGTCTGCTTTATCACGAGGTAAGTGAGCAGTATTTATGTTATGTGTGTTCATGTCATTGTAGAAAGCAACATCTGAGAGCTTTTCAAAGACTGCGTGAAAATAAATCCCCAGTCTTTATAGGAGGGTTACCTTAAGGTCTCTTGTTTAAGTCTGCCTAACTCCAGGCTAAGCTGCTGCTGAGCCTCATGCGACACCACAGAACTAAGGGTGCTGACTCCTGATGTGATGGCGGGATCTTCAGCCCTGTTTTGTTCAGTGGACTGGAAACTGTCCTCTACTTCATTGCCGTCTTTGTCCCCTCCCTCAGTTTCTGATGCTGGCTCAAAGTGAGCTCGAAGCTCTGGTAAAAGGAAACAGTGTAAGAATAAGAATTTTTTTGGACAAGTCTGTCTTCAGCGGTATTGCGGTTTGTTCTTTATTATTGCGGGTGGGGGAGCTTCAGCTGAGGAAGTGGACTGTTTGCACAATGTATTATTGTAGTACTGAGCAGGGGAGTAGCAAAGCCTTATGCGAGCTGGATCACACGTTCTCTGACATCAATTCTAAAATGATGTCATAGCTCAGCTGTAGCATACCAGTACAGGTAGGTAGCTGTAGAGGGGACAAATACATTTGTGATGAAATGAATAACAAGACAGTTAATAAAATGTACTAATGAGAAACCCTTGAAAGCTTGCATTTTAAAAAAAAGATTTAAAGTTGTTTTCCCCTAATGCCCTGGACCAAAGCGTTTACAAAGCCGCCTTCTTCTCCAGGTGGCATTTCTAACTGCAGTTCTCTCAGAACTTGCTGCAGGTGGCCACCCTTCCCACCAAAGAATAGCTGCCATTTTTCTCCTACGAAGTCCTAAAATACTTGGTCGATTGGCTTAAACGCCATAGCAACTTTGGAGTGAAAGGGCTCACAATCACTAAGTGCTCTCAAAACATTCTCATGCTGGAAGGGGTGCTCAGCACTTCAGTTCCAAAACTACTTGCAGATTTCAAACTTAGACTTATTCCTAGACAGTTCTTAGTCCTCATCGCTGATGGTGATTTTTCCTACTACCCATCTGTAGGCTAAAATCATACTCCTCCTCCTATTAATGCACAACCTTCTCTGCATCTGTTCCACAGCTCAGTAATCATTTTGCAGAACACATAACCAGACCTGTGCAGTGTTACCCACCTTGGATGTCATTAAAATGTTGTACAGGGTCATTTTCTTTCTTACTAGAAAAGCTCCAGATTGAAGTGAATTTAATTTGCCTTTTTTTGTCGTGGTTGGACCATATTGGTGGTACAGAACCACTGGTTATCATCTCGTTATGTGCTTTTGTACTGCAAGTACAGCATGAATCCTACAGATCAACACTTCTTTCTGTACAACATTCTGACCCTGTGCCTTTGACGTAGTGGCACATGGGATGCAGTTAATGGCATGCTGACAGATTAAACATTTAAACTGTTCCATTGCTCTAACTCTTTGATAGGTGAACAGCTGCCTTTTTTTTTTTTTTTTAAAGTTTATTTTCAGCTGCTTTGATTTACCTGGTATAAGAATAGTGACTGCTGCTTGGACTGCACGGCGAATTATGTTATCCATTGCAAACATCCAGTGGGGCCTTATTAAGTGATTTCTTAATACTTTGTTCACCTATAAATAAAAAAGCAAGTAAAAGTAGCAGGAAACAACATCTGCTTACACCTTAGGAAAGACTGTGACACATTCAAGCCCCTCTGCAGTACAAGGAGGAAGAGGGGTGAGGAAGAGTGAGGAAGCTGCAAACCCCTGAGGTGAGCTCTGGCCAGGAAGAATTCCTCTACCCTTGCCCTAGGCAAGGAACTCACCGCATCCTGAAATCCAAACAGCACAAGATGAATCTGATTGATGGAAGTGCTGTCAAAGTCCAAATCCATTTTTAACTTCGATATGGTAGAAGCCATCACTCTCTGCTCCGGAGAGCGTATGAAGTCCCTTAAAATCCCAATAATTTGCTTGATGTGGGCCACTGAAAGTTGCAGTTCTTCAGAGCTCTGGAGAAAAGATAACGAATGTATATCAAGTAAATACCAGAGTCATTAAACATCTAATTAGTAGCTTTAGTATTTTTAGGGTTATAATTTATAGCTTTGCCCATGTATATTTCACACCGATACACAGAAGTCACAGAACTTTAGTTTCTGCAAAGCCTTCATTTTCTACCTTTTTCTAACTAAATTTTTTTTAATAATAATTCCTATGTTCCAAAAAATAAAGTCTACTGCTACTGTGGCTGTCACAAAGGGAAGAGATTCCAGATAGTATCTACACATTTCTGCAATGTACTGGGCAGGGCAGCTCTCCTCCATAAAAACAGTGGAGTGAGTTGATAAGAGACCCACATTTTTTAGATGCTATCCTTTCAATAAGCTGAATCTGGACTTACATCTAATTATGCAGACATTTGATTTCCTTAGGAAAAAAAAAAAGTTTATATATGCATTTATCATAAGTCAGAGAAAGGTCTAAGATTATACAGTGATAGGACTCAAGTGTTCATTCTATGATTTGCCGTTCATAATCCCCACCATTAAAGCCATCCAAGTAAGAACAACAACCTGCATAATTAACAGGTGAAGGGAGAAGTATTACATAAATTGTGGAAAAGAGATGATTACAGCAGTGTTGCAAAACAGCTGGAGACTGAGGTAGGACTTGCTGTTACTAAATAATCCTTCTTTATCCTGGAAAATATTGAGAGCCCTGATTATTTCTAAGATCTCACATATGAATTTCAGTCCTGTCTATGAGCTATTTTGCAGTTTAAGCTCAGAGCAAAAATTTACCCCAATTGCTTCCCCAGCCTGAGTTTGTGGGCCTTTCTCTTGGGCCTGTAAAGGCCCCCTTGAGTCTGGGGCAAGGTGACCTGCACCGTGAGGAAGTTTGTAGGGGACGTGAGTCTTGGGGGCAGAAGCGAAGCCCTGCGTGGTGTGGAGCCAGCTGCCTGTGCTGGGCTTGGCTGGAGCTGCCCCAGGAGCAGCAGGGCCCCTGGCAGCGGCGCTGCAAGCGTCTGCGCCAAGACCAACGGCTGGCCAGGGAGACCATGGGAAGAGTCCATGGGAAGGGCCCCCCCCCTTTATGTGAGTGCAGTCCAAGTGAAAAACTAGCTTTATTAGACAACGTCAGTGGCACATTAGAAGCAGACATTAAGAAGAAAAGGCTAAGCAACCAATTCTGTTACTGGTGTGTGGCACTGGCTGGCTGTGGGTTAACCGAGGATACGGTTTTTCTTGCTCCTCTTTAAAGTCACTAAACCTTCCCACTCAACCCGTCCCTCTACAGAAAAATCTACCTTAGCTTTTTTATGATTCATGTACTGTGCACTTGGCACCTAGTTTACCTATGTTTTGAATTAAAAATTGTTAATCAGTTCTCTATCCTTAAAGCAAATAATACCTATTACTACCTAGTGTTCCATTTCCATGTCCTCAAAAGCCAAAACGCAACATCAAAACCACCCAACCCACCAAGCTCAGCCCCCCAACCCCACATCAAACTCCCCAAACCTCCCCCTCCAAACCAAGAGCCCAGCAGCAGGCAAAAGGTGGTGTTTGCTATCCCTTCAAACAGCAAAGGGCTCACACAGTTATACGTCCCAGATCTTAAAGATACTCAGAAGGAACAATCCAAACACCTTCATTTATTAGTTTTCAGAAAAGGAATGATACTACCTGGCTTCTCATTTTCCCTTTGACATCAGGAAAGGAGAGCTGAATTGAAATTACCTGTGCAATACAGTCCTGCAAATTGGAAGCAACTTCATTTTGTTCTTCCTTAAGGATTTTATATAGGATTGCTCGGCGTTCACTGTCCTTCCGCAGCAGAAACAGACCGGAATCCTTATCCTCAAGGGAAGGAGAGGTGCTCCTGTCATCCAAGGCTGAGCCCTCATCAGGCACTCTGTGTCAGCAGCCAGGCCACATGCACAAGAGAGACCTCAGCATTAGCAACATGGCAGTACTCTCAGAAACGAGTAGGGATACTTTGGAGGTTAAAAAGTGAGTTAAACTACAGCAGTGGATTGATCAGACTGTTAAACACTAATTCTGAGACAGAAGATGGCTCAGATCCTCAGCTGGCATAAACCTCACTGAAGCCGAAAGCACAAGGCTGATTTCATCCCGCTGAGAAGCTAGCATCAATGTCAGCCAGCACTAGTTCGGTTTGGGGAGGAAAGCTGAAAACCCTGGACTGAGATAACAACTATTCATTTTTTCTGGCCCCATACTGTAACATACTTATTTGAGGGTCATGAAGATGATCCGAGGGCTGGAGCACCTCTCCTATGAGGACAGGCTGAGAGAGTTGGGGTTGTTCAGCCTGGAGAAGAGAAGGCTCTGGGCAGACCTTAGAGCAGCCTTCCAGTACCTAAAGGGGCCAACAAGAAAGCTGGGGAGGGACTTCTTACAAGAGCCTGTAGGACAAGGGGCAATGGATTTAAACTGGAAGAGGGAAGATTTAGATGAGATATTAGGAAGAAATTCTTCCCTGTGAGGGTGGTGAGGCAGTGGCAGAGGTTGCCCAGAGAAGCTGTGGATGCCCCATCCCTGGAAGTGTTCCAGGCCAGGTTGGATGGGGCTGTGAGCAACCTGGTCTGGTGGAAGGTGTCCCTGCCCATGGCGGGGGGGGGGGGGGGTGGGTGGGTGGGAACTGGATGAGCTTTAAGGCCCCTTCTAGCCAAACCATTCTATGATTCTATGAAAGTATTGCTTTGTACTCTCTGAGCAGCAGAAATGTCTTTCTGCTGCCCCTTTCCCACATTTTTTTCTTAAGTACATGGAAGGGTCAGATCTTCTGCTAACTCCTGAATCCATATCCACACTCAGTCAATAAGACGACTGAGATTTATTCACTAAGGAGGGAAAAGTATATAAATATGTGGAAACCTTAAGCAGAAAGAATCATTATTCATTATTTAAATAGACAATATTTAAATTAACTGGTAACTTGCCTATACAACTCTCTTGCTGTTTAACACACCTGCTTATCTAGTCATTATGTGAAGAAATTGTCCTCAGATAAAATACAATGTGAATTAAATCCACATAACCCTTCATGGCTGTTCAAGTGAAAAGTGACTGCTTTACCTTAGTAAATGGGAAATAGGATGCTTTGTCTGAATCTCTGAAATGGATCTCTTTGGCCTTTCGAAAAACATGTCATGCTGTACATCAGAGTCTGGCGAAACAGAGCCATGCTCACTGCTGCTACTGCCAGCCTGTTCTCCATGGATTGGCAGTGGGAGGGATGTATTACGATTGTAATCTATGAACAGACATTATAAAACATGTAACAGAACTAGACAGAAAAGGGCAATGTGCTTAAAAGAGCTGTGATCATCTTCAGTGATATCAAGACCTCATTTTGCAAAATGGCTGAGAGGTAACCTTGAAAGCAGCAATATAACTCAAAAATCATTTTATGCATAAGCAATAAAAGGTGTGAACGAGCTAATTGTTGAACCCAAAGACAGCAAAGCAGCTAGATACTCACATGAAATGCCATTTTGATACCCTCTCGTGCATGCACACACGCTCCCCCTTGGTGCTGGTCTCACAAAGTGGTACAACTGGATATAGAGCTGTTTAAAGAGCCTGAATCAAACCAATAGGTTACCATCAGCTGCTCCACCACAGCCCTATCTCTAAGCAGAGAGCACTCTGCTTATCTGCCCTCCTCACCTCTGCCAGACCCTGTTAATGGATGTGCATCTGCTCCCTCTCTCACACCCGAGGCATCTGCCTTGCTCGCATGCCCCCTTGCCCTCTGTAAGGACTCTCTTTCATAGGACTAGTCTGAAGGAAATCTCTTGTTTCTTTCCAATTAGTCTTGAAAGTAAGAAGAAATAAAAAAAATAACAGATATTGAGAGCTTGCTACAATCCTGATTGCCAGTGTGCAGCTGTGTGATAGGGAAGGTAAGGAAGAAGTTCCGTCAGCTTAGAGTGCACACATCCATGAGGCTAAAATATTACAAAAGGTTTTGATGCTTGTTATTACAAACTGTGTGGAGGTTGGGGAGAGAAAGAGTGAGAAGTCAAAAGTTGTTCAGAGAGCTCTGACATACTCCGTGGTACGTGATTGATGGTCAAATGGCTGAGGTTAAACAGTCACAGAAATGCAACAATACATGTCACCTCGTAAGAACTGGTTCAAGGCGTTTCAGGATGGAAAGACGGGGACAAAGCTAAGGAAATTGGTGGTGGGGGAAACGCTAGCGGGAGGAGACAGAGTGAACAGCTGCAGCTGAGATTGTGGCAAGTGCCGGGCCAGGACCTGCCTTACGCCCCCAAACTGCCCTTGGAGGTGGCTGCAGATGCCAGCATGGCTTTCCCCAGCTCTGGCATAGCGAAGCACACACTCGGCTGCAGCCATGTTGCCCTTCCCTCCCCTCACCCAATAAACAGTTTTCATAGAATTTGCCCACTCTGCTCATGTCCATGGCCAGCACTTGGCTTGCTTCTTGCTGCAGCTCAGTGCCTAACCCTGCAGCACCAGATCCTCAGGCCATCTGAAGGAGCTCCACAACCTCATTATTTAATGGGAGAAGAGAAGAAAGGAGGAAGGCAGGAGGAGGGAGGGCGTGCAGAAGACAGCTGCACCTCCCCTGGTATTTGACAAAGAGCCTGTTGCTCCCAGAGCAGCTAACAAGGCAAGCTCCACCCTTTCTAATGCCACACAATTTTTCCAGGAAAATGTCCTCAGACAAGGGCTGAAAAGGCCACAAGAGAACATTATTGCAGTGGGGCAGAAGGCTACAGCCTGCCAATAGCTCCTGACTGCCTTTGCTGTGGCTGAGCAGGGTGAGCTCTCCTGTTACTCCAGTGTCACTGCAGGGATTGCAGTGCTGAGTGCCCCTCAGGACGAGAGAGAATGCCCATTTCCTTACTGAAACCAATTCAGCTAGATGTTGTGTGCCAAATTTCCAAGTTACATCTCAAGTTTGAAAATGCTGACCCATGTAGACCCAAACACCTAATAGACCCACATTTTCAAGTGCCAAACACGTACTCTATAAAACTCAGATCTCTGAAGTGCACATAATTGTGAATCTAAAATGTAGAATTGCTTTAGAAACTCTTCACCAAATGTCATTTTTCTAATTCTGTAAATGAGGCATTTATTTCTGGGGAGTTGGGAGGTTTCAGCAAACAAAACACAAAATAAGCAAGACACCATATTTTGTGGGTATTGTTAAATTTCAATATGTCTAATTACAAATCACAGGCACTTTCAACAGTTGAGTTCCTGCTGCTTTCCTGGCACGATAAATGTCCTTGTAAAAGAGAGTGCTTAATGATTCCAATCTTTTATATAACACTTAATGATTATGTTGACCGGGATTTGTCTGATAATTCCTTACCTGAAGGCTTGAATGCAATTCTGCTTTTCTTGCTCTTGTTTACTTGTTTCAGGAAGGAATCCCTGAGCAAATCAGATGCTGTAACACGTTTACTAGGATCAGGTTCAAAACAGAGCAAAATAAAGGCCCTTGTTTCAGGCGACACTGATTCTGGAATTTCAGGATGAATCTTAAACATCCCAACCTGCAAGTAAAACACAAATACAGATTATTTTTGCTAAACAACTGCAAGGAGACCATCTGATCTTTTTTCTCACTCAAAAGGAGTGATCCAGGTGAAGTGACAATGTGGTTCTAATCCTGGTTTTCTTCATTGCAGACATGGCATGAACATCCATGTGGTATTACACAGATGTCAAAGTAGGGATGGATCCAACCATCTACCTTCATTATCCACACCAAGCTTGGTGCTTCTCCTACCAGCCACAAATGCCTCCAGCCATTGCATCTGCTCCCCAGCACCCCTGCCCAGTGCTGGGTCTCTCAGCTGCTGACTCCTCCAGCACATTCGTGCCTAGGAACAGGAGTAACTTCCTCCGCCAGCACCGCCTGCCTGGGGCCTGCACCTGTCCTGCTCCTGCCGCTGCCATATTTGCTTGTATGAATGCTCACAAGGACCTTGCCAGACCTTGTCACCACCCCTGGCACTCAGGCCAGATGTCTTCCTTAGCCTTTCAGCATTATTTAACTGAAAATCACATGATGTCCAAAGGTTTAACAAGACACCCCCCCCCAACTCTTTCTTTAAGTAATGAAAAACGTGCTTCTACAGGTTACTCCCTAGTGATTTTTCAAGCTCCTTCACTGCCTTCTTATTCTCTAATGCCAATCTGGCATAAATGTTCTGAAGCGAGAGCTGTGTAACACACGTGCACTGTATGGCATGTAGCTGGCAAAATTATGGTTTGTAGTCTCAGCATCTTTACATAAAACAGGCTCTGGAGAACAAGCAGAAAGGTAGTGGCCACAAGGGAGGTAGTAGCCCAGCAGTTAAACAAGTGCCAGTTGCTTTTAAATAATCTTGTTATACAGCTTCATTAACACACAGTGGCACCATGAGGCACTCACAGTAGTGGTTCAGCTTCAAAGCAAGCTGAGGGGAAAAAGCGATGAGCAGTTGTCCTTCTGTTTGAATGACCGTGCAGAATATAAAATCCTAATAGTGCATTAAGGCCTTCCAAACCATGACTCTAAGCACATTCAAAACTCAGTGTTTCCTGCATGTAACATTTTTAATATACGCAACTTCTAAGCTCTACAATTAAACTGCTGTATTTAATAAATAAATTGAATAAATAAATAAATAAATAAATTGATGTTATGTCCTGTTGGCAGGATACAACATCTGTATGTTTACCATGTCTGATGGAGCATCTTTATCTGATCTGTAAAACCTCATGTGCATTTTGGACAGTGCTTTATAATGGGGTATATAGTTTCACCACTTCAAAATGTCAGCCCGGCAAGATTTTTGCTTTGGAGCAGAGAGAGAAGACAGTCACCTGCTGGCTGTGCTCTGACAAGTGCTCCAGTCGTGCCCATCTCCATGGTCAGCCCACTTCTTGTGCACACTGGGGACCGACTCATGCAGCCTCAGCTAGGGTAGTCACAAGCTGATAGCACGCTGGTCACAGATTATACCCTTATGCACAGCCCAAACCAGGACCAGGAAATTTGAATGCATGCCTCTTCTCTTATCTTAATCTCTGTAGCTCAAGGGGAATAAGTTTTGTTGCAAGCATCTGGAAATTCTGTGGCAACATTAGTTTAACTCTGCTGAATGTCATTTGTTTGCACGCCTTTCACACAGAACCAGATGCACACATACTATGCTTACAGAAGAAATACCACACAACATACACTCAGCCAGAAAATATTTCCAGTTTTCGGTTCACTCTAGCCCCTTTTCTCTACTTTGTCCAGCTCTTTGGTCATTTACAATTTCTATGGTGACTGCACAGCCAGGCTTAGACCTCCCCTCTCCTCACCAGCCCTGTGCGTGACAGAGTGTGTATGTGTGGAGGTGGGGACCTCAGAAGTTCAATATCCCAAGTTCTCCAGGTTTCTGCTCTTTTTACATTCCTGCCCAGTTGGCCTGCTTCATTCCTGGCTTCAAACCTAGCTTCCAGCTTGCTTACTTTTATTACACAGCAAAAAGAAACCACAGTTTGCAGTTTACAAAGCCCAGCAAGACAGTTCCAAGCAGATGCCAGCAGACCCAAGAAACAGAAAACAAAACCAAATGCTGGTTTTAGCACATTAACGCAGTCTGCAGTAACAATGCTAAAAGCTCTGCCACATCCTTGAAGAAAGAAGGGCAAGAAATGTATTTTTAAAAATGCCCATTCTGAGACTTCAGAAAACAGCTCTGTGGCCTGGAAGTGCTTATGGGCAGGATGTAGGGACATGGACGGTCCTGCCAGAGCTCCCCTCGGGAGCCTGCTCGGAGCTCATTGAGCACCCAGAACTGAACCAGCGCTTCCTGAGAGTTCAATAAACTGTGCTGAAAAATGAGACAGGCAACTTACTGAACAGTTCAACTACACGCCAGATAGATATGACGAAAAGGCATCTGCCAACAGAACTATATCTGACATTCACAGTGATGTGGAAAAAAGTCTCTTTCCATGGCTCCCTCAAGAAAGAGGGATTTACGGTTGGACTTGATGATCTTACAGGTCCTTTCCAACCTAAATGATTCTATGAAAGCTGTAGTGAATCAAACTGTTTTCACTCAGGCAGCTTCTTTTGAGGTAGCGTCACAAGTCAACACCACCAAGGTGACATATTATACTGTTGAAATAACTACATCAAAACCCATAACCATCACTTTCTTTGCCTTTTAGCTGCGGCGCATCGGACAAGGCCTAGTAGTAACGCGCCATGCTGAATTGCAGCCCAGCTTACTATACTTATTGAGAAAGATCTGATTTTGCTACTGTGGTTCCACGAATAATACTAATGCTGTATGAGGACTCTGAAGCATAAGTGAAAACATAAGTACTTCACTAAAGGTCTACTGCAAGCCAGTGAAAGAACCAAAACTTTTCAGTCTGTGTATGCGACACGTTATCACATCATTGCTTTTACTCTACTATTAGTTTCAGAGTTAGAACAAGTAACTTTTTCAAATACATTTATTATCAAAACTATCTGAAGCATTCTCTTCCCAGGTGTTAATTTGTGCATTAGAAAACAGATACACAAAGAGAAATAAAGTCCTAGTGGCAACAGTTTACCAAGGAGGTAGCTTTGATCCAAAGAACTTAGGAAGTAAAATAGAGTATTTTACTCCTTCAGTACATAACAGAAATCCTGGCAAGTTAGCCCCTGCCCCCTTCCACCATAGCTTCCTACCATGTTGCAGAGACTGGGCCTTTGAAAGACAAGGCAAACAGATACTCTGGGAGGAAGGCTTATAAAAAAAGACTTAAAAGGAGCATAAATAAATTGGTTGTCATTACTGGAGAGACTGGTTGCCAAGAAGGAGATCATAAAGCAAGAGCAAGAGATGAGAGAAGTAAGAGGGTAGAGAATATTAGTTTTCATAAGTCTTCACTCATTTTTCAGACTGCTGCTCTGAGTCATGACCTATTTCCAGCACAAAAATAAAGGATTACCCTCTAGAACTATACAGCTTAGAGCAGAGAAGGATTAAGCAGTGAGAGTTAAGAACTGTGGCTTTGTGCAAAACAACCCATGTAACAAAAGTTTCCTACCAATTAAATTAATATTAAAAAATTAAGTTAGTATTTGAAAATTCATAAACTCTATAGCAAAAAATCTGTACTTACTTTAAACATTGCTGCTTGAGGCTCCCCTAGTTCATGAAATGGTGGTTTGCCTGTCACCATTTCAATAATGGTACAACCTAGTGACCAGATGTCAGCTGGTGCACCGTATCCTCGTGGTCCTTTATCGATGATTTCTGGAGCCATGTACTGCAAGGTTCCTAGTCAGGACAAAAAGAATAGTCAATTGTTACGGTCTTGGTTTTTATTAAAGAGAATTAACATACCACTAAGCAAGCCAAAAATTGTCAAATGCAACCTATATAGTCAAAATATTTGTTTTCCCATATCAGCACTGAAAACTAGACAGAAAATTAGGTTTTAACAGCTTTTCTATAAACTACCTTTCCCCTGCCCCTTTTCTAATACAAGGCTTCAAACTGCTGAAAGTATATTCTCCACATAATCCACATGCTTCCTCAGAACATAAAATTATATCAAACTATTTTTGCAGACACTAAATTGTAAAGATTATGCATGGAAGAGGTGATGAAAACCTGCAATGTGACAGATAGTCTTAATGAGAATAATTTTTCATATTTTTACCCCTGTAATGAGAATAGTAGTGACAGGGAATTTCAAAAAGTTAGTTTGAAAAGAAGCTATTTTTGTAAATATACGATAATAAAGATAAGAACATTTAAAAAAAATCCCAAGTTTTACACAAAAACAATCAAGGTTGTAATCAAGGTAAATCAATTACATGATAACTAAAAAAATAAGGGAACTCATCATAAATTGCAATTCCAGAAAGTCTTTTGGATGTGCTTAGAATTTCTGACATCCAAGGTTAGGGGGGGGGGAAAGAAATCTGTTGAAGCTTGTAAAGCTACACATGCTGGCAAAATAAGATCCTGCCTAAGCCTACAATTGGCTCTTGGCAGATGAATCTGAATGACTCTAAAGTTTGTCTGTAGACAATCTGACTGTAATACTAGTTACAGTACTGATAAACAAAAAGAACAGTAAAAATGAAATAAAAGATCGTCAATTTGGAATCATTGATATTCAGTCATATACTAACCCAGCTAACAAGAGGTCTTTACAGGAAGACAGTCCACATCAACAACAGAAACCTATAGGTGTTCTTAGTGTTTTGAACACTACAGTACTTTCTCCATGTGAATTCCTACTAGCTCTGTTATGACATCTTTAAATCAAATTATTTTTCTTCTTAAGAATTCAATAAAATTACACTGTGGTAAAACTCTGAACTATTAAGTAAAGGACATCTGGTGAAGATAAAAGGGATTGGATATTACTATGTTCATTACATGTGACTGCTGTAGAACAGAAGTTCAAGCCACAGATTTGCCCTCAGGCTGTGTGTCTTGACTGGCAGGATATAATGTTTAAACCACTATTAGTCTGGTTCTTCAAATCGCGTGATCATATTGCATAATGCCTAAAATCCAAAGCGTTTATGTACTGAGTTAAGAAACAAAACAAATTTCAAGAGACCTTTTCAGACCCTCTGGGCTATAGCTACCTGCTTCCTGATTTTAAATCCAAAATGAGAATTAGTTAAAACATGTATTCTCATGGTAAATTACATCTCTGAGGCACAAACAGGGCTGCAAACATGTAAGAGAAAAAGAAGGGCACAAGGAAAGATTTACCTCCTTTTATTACAGTATGGTGGCTTTTCTTCAGATACCATTTCTCCATATCTCATCTCTAATAACAACCAGTTGCTAAAAAGCCACTAAGGAGTACGTAAAACACAGGCAAAGACAGAAATTTTCCTCTAGTATCTGCTCTAACCATAATAGCAATCAGCCATAATAGTGGCTTTCTGGGCCAAAATTTGTCTTTGGACTATAACTTTTAATAGCCACAAAAAGGTCTTACTCCATGACTTCAACTTTTACATTATGGAATGCCTTTATATACGTAAAGTTTTCAGAATATCCTGCAGAAATGAGAAGCATGGTATAGTTATACATCACACCATGTGGTAATGCATCTCTTTCCCATGGAGTGTAACTGCATTGAACCAGTCTAACAAAAATGGCAAGGAGAAACATTGCAGACAGAACCTGAAAATATTATTTTCCAGATACCACAAGAGACTTGTACATATTTAAGAATTATCCAGTCAGTTGCATAAGCAAGATAATTCATGAGAAAATTATTTGTTGAATAATTTGTTTGGAAAAAATGGTGAAACCCCTTAAAGGAATGCTTGAGAAGCCAGTGTTTAACCAGCTCTGTTCAGACATACAGTTATTTATGTATTTATCTGTTGTAGCATCTATAGATTGCTTCTTGTAGCTCTTCATTCCTGACAAAACATTCAAGTGCTGCATTTATGATTCCAAATGGGACAAATGATAATTTTTTCCTTCTCTTTAAAGGACTCCTAACTTAACTTAATTTGATTCTAACTAAAACCTTTACAGCTTTGCAGGAAATTGATTTGTTTCAAAGGCCTGCACCTGATGACATGTTGATCTCATGAGCTATTGATGCAGACATCACATGCTGTGTTCAGATCATGATGTAGTATAGGCCCAGTTTCCAATTCACAAGCTTTGCTAATAATGAGTAAAAAAAGCTTAGACAGGTTATTTCAGAACCTTAATAATTTTATTTTTATGGCTTCCTTTGTAAGAAAGCTGGAGGAACTGCAGATTTCCCACCAGACAGGTAATGGAAAGCCTTGATTATCACTTAGATGGAGGTTGTTGTCTTCTGCCTTCCACACACATGACTGATGGCTGTGTCTCTGTACCATTTCCTTATACGGCACGCCAGTATGAGGCCTGTGATTTGTGGTATCAGCCTTTGGCCATGTAACAAGTGAAAACATCATGTTACCTGTATCTCCACTGATAAAAGAATTGAGTAATTATGTGATCATACATTCATTTTTCAATGTGGAGTTTCAGCTGTTACTCAGCAAATTTTGTTTTCCCTGAATATTACAAGTTTTTACTACCTTGTTGTATACAAAAGCTTTTCTATAACATACTAGCCTAGTATTTTTATGTAAACTGTTATTTTTACTGCTGATAACACCAAGTTAGCCAGTTGATTGGGTTTTACAATTAATGCCTCAAAACTGAAAGTATTAATAACTTTGTGTTTGTTTTCTGCACTTTTACACATACTCCAAGAAAGTGTGCATGCATGAGTTACTAATATCAAGATTATTAAATGAAAAAGTTGCTATATTCAAGTGTTTCCAGATGTAATTGCAACTAATCCATTGCTACTTAATGAAAACTACTTAGAAGAAAAACTATTATCCCATCACACTTAAGAAGTTTAAGAAAAAAAAGTAAAATGGAAGAAAATTACTTAAAAAAAAAGGGAAAGATAGCAAGCCTGTTTCATGGTGATCACACTCCCATTCACTCTTCCTTGAAAACAGAGACCTAATTGTGTTTTCATCACAAATCCAAAGAGCCCCTTGGATCTAACTCTAAATCTATGATCAAAACCCTTACAAACTCTGCAAAATTAGTCTTACCTGTAAATGTTTCAGTGCATGGATTGATTCCTGCCAGCCGTTTGGAAGTACCAAAATCAGATATCTTTACCACGCCACTATAGGTGTTCACCAAAACATTATCGCCCTGTGGTTTGGATGAGAGAGAGAAAGGGAGCAGGGAGGGGAGACAGATGAGTACAGGTTCCAAATCCCAATCTCAATACTCCTTCAAGTTTGCAGTTATCTTTGTAATACACCTTTCTACAAAGGAATTTTCCAGGAGCACTAGGGAGAAGGCGTTGTTTTATTCTTTCCTTTTGTTTTAAGCTTCCATGAAATTGTATTAAAAATTCTACTTCAGCTTAGAGTAAAACTTACTGAAGTAAATAAGATAAAAAGCAAATCACACAAGACACACTAAAGGAAAATTTACCTTTATATCTCTGTGTACAATCTGGTTCTCATGGAGATACTTAAGGCCTTCCAGAATCTGTTTGGTGTAAAATTTAATTGAAGGTTCTTTCATTGGGCCCCACTTAGATCTTAGAAGAGCTGAGAGGCTGCCTACAAGAGTTAAGAAGAAAGTGTATCAAGATAGCAAAATCCCCAAATTAACATGAAACATTTAATTCTGGATTAAGCCTTTGCTCAATATTCTAATAAAAGAGAAATGCAGTAACTATAATTAAGTCAAATTCTCCTAGATCTCTCAAAGCACATAATTTGCTGCTGCTCTTGACTGCTTATTTCTTTCTTGCCAGCTCTGCTTCCACCTCCATAGCAGGAATAAACGTTACAACAGGGCTGGATGCATCTCCCTCACTTCAGTCTGTTAAGACTAGGACTAGCAACCGTTTAGCCCTCAATGAAATAATGGCTACAGGTAACACTGTATGCTGTTATACACTATACTACATGAACCACATGCATGGGCAAAGAGAACTTGATTTACTTGAGGTGTGCAAGGGAGAAGAAAAAAGGAAAAGAGTCTTTTCCTTGCAAATATGTGATTAATTTCTGGAAATATTGACCTTTAATGGTCCCTTCCAACCCAAACTAATCTATGATTCTATGACTCTATAGTCAGAGACAGAGGAAAGAAAGGTCCTGAAAGAAATCAAGTATTGGATGCTCAGAGTAGGAGATAGGTCATCCACACTTCCCCTACTTGTAATAAATCTAGTCTGTTTTTAAATAACACAAGTATTTTAATCATGAAGTAAAATAAAGACAGTTCTGCTTTTTATGTTCCTAATAAACTACATGCAGTGGGTCTATTTGATGCCAGACAAATTCAGCTAAAGGGATGTTCAGTCCACACCAACAGCTTTCTAAAGTGAAGTTTCTGTGAAGAGTCTTGCATAATCTGAACAGCTGGTTCCTTTTAAAGACTAGTTGCAGAGTTTAAAATACTTGAATTTGTTCAATAATCTTGACATTAGCAACTAATCACAGCACACTGTACTGTGCATATATGAACAGGAAATAAAAGGTATGTAAACACCACCAGTTGATACTTTTAACAAGTGCAGGAAAACAAGTGGAAATCTTGGTATAAACTCATCACATCTGCTTGCATCATACATGTCAAAGTGTCTCAGCTTTCAGGTGAGAAGGTCACAGGAATTCAAAAATTAAACAACTTCCCTATGTTGAATGCCTCAGATGTATTTAATTACACTTTGATTGTTTGTGTCTGGACCTTCCCTAGAAAACCTCAACCTTTTTTCTTGGTTTTCTTATTTCTGTTTTTATTTTGCAAATTATAGTCATACAAGAATTTAACACTCATTCTGACACATCCTTGACATTGAAGAGCAAATAGCAAAAGGGAGATGGAAACATAACCTAGAGAGAATATACAAGGACTTAAAACGCAGAGAAGACTAGAGGAGCAAAACTGGGAAGCTTATAACTTTAATCTCTAATCTACATAGGAAATAGCACTGCTTCGTATACAGCAGTTACAAAATAATACTTAATTACTCAATCAGTGTTACTGCTCAACAGAAACTTATTCTAAAAGCTCATCATTCAGACGCTCAGGCTAAATGAACTATACAGCTCTAACTCCACTATTTTCTAACACATGAGTATTTCATACCAAATACTTTCAATGACTTTTCTCTAGGTTTATAATTGTTACAGAAAGGGGAGAGGGTACTCGGACCTGTACACTTCAAATCTATTCTTTATATAAGAATGCCACCTGTAGTTAATGTCTCTACAGAAAAACCATACACAGTGCACAAACACAGTAAGTGCACATCTATTGGCTTTCAATAAGTTGAGAGTCCCAACTGCTTTCGATTCCTTTGAGAGACTAAGCTCAGAATGATACAAACCTCCTGGTACCTGCTCCATAAAGATCTTAATGTGTCCATCTTCTGAAACAGATCCAAGATACTGGACAATGTTTCGATGCTTTAAATATTTATGCAGTGCTATCTCTTCATGAAGAGGTTGAGAATACCTATTAAAAAAAAAAAAAGAATTGTGTTGTATCTCATCATGCAGGAGAAGGTTCTAGGCTACGCTTAAATGCTAGTTTGTAAACAGAATGGATTTTAGGGATACTGATCCAATTCTCAGCAAACACATTGTCCATAATCTTCAAAATGCAGTGTAACTGGCTGTCTAGTCAGAAAAAGTACAGAGGTAGATCTTAGAGGAACCCTGAAGGAGAAACATGCCCTCAAAGAATTTATACATGCCTTTCTTCTATATTGTTACATAGTACTGTTTTTGGCTCCAAAACTCCTTTTATGCTTTTCCCCCTTCCCGAAAAGAATACAAATGAGATACAGCTGCAACTTAAAATCCAAAATACGTCTTATTCTGGAATCTATGATATACATATAGATTATCAAACTGTATTATTTATGATATATCATATCTTTTCTAAAAAAATAAAAAGTCCTTAGTCTCAAAAGGGTACTGTTGAATACTAGGAGGAAATAATAATTGAATTTTGGTGTACTGGGATTTTATAAACTAACCACATAGAAATGCATGCAAAGTTTTCAGCAAACAACTGCAGTTTCATTAGCAGTGTACGTACAACTATAAACTAGGTCTTACCTGCTGTCTTTCTCAGGTATTTCTTTGATGGCTATTCGGACCTGATTGCTAAGGTCTCTTCCAGCATAAACTATTCCATAAGTACCTTTGCCTAGAACTACTCTGTCACCATTCTCATCATAATCATATTCATACTGCAAGCAGGGAAGATAAACAAAGCAGCACAGAAATTGTTATCATTAACATTTAACATTACAGAGAGCTTTAACAACAGTTACGTACTGTACTGAGTTAATACAGCACAGAGTAGTACAGCAGGTTACCCACCAGTCTGGTGCATAATACAACATGTAAAATTTCCATGTTACTTGCTTTATAAAACAGTCTTCCCTAACCGACTTCAAACTGCATTCACCCAAACAAGGAACACAACATTAAACCAAATTCAATGAAGCAGTGCTGTCAAAAGAACACATTCAGGCATCATCTCTAAGAATTGCTGACAGAGCCTTCAGAATATGTAAATGTATGGAACATAACCTATAATTTTGAAAGCAATGTTTTAAAAAATAGATATAAGTGACATTCTCATTACAGTGGGTGAACACTGTTTTAAGACCCTAAACTCTCATTTGAGCTTAGCCACAGCAAAATTCTTGTCTGACATATTCCCCTCATTATGAGCTTTTCCAAAAGGCAAAAAAACCCAAAGCTCCTCTTGTCAAAGGATGAGTAAATATATGAAGCGTTGGTTTCCACTGCTGCTGAAACATGCTGGGTCATATTGCCAGCTGAAGAACTCATTGCTGGTTCACTGGCTTCAGTAAAGCTACACTAATTTCCACCACCTCATGGTCTTGTCTCAGATGGTGATCTTACCACAGAGCTCTCCTACTATAAAGGTCAGTGAAAAAGCCTATTGATGAATGATAATTAATGAAAGTACATTAATGAAAGTACATCCTAGACACTAAATAAACCCAAATTTCTTGTGGAAGTTGGGTTAAGCAGCACACCCCTAATTCAAATCAGGGAACTGATAAAGGATATTGAAAAATCACTTTTGCAAAGAGTTCAGAAAGGAATTGGACAGTTTCATAGCCTCAGATATTATCAGGAGTACACAGAACTCCCCTAGTATCTTCTCAAATCCAAGAGGATGTCCCATATGGGAAAACTGCAGGGTATTCTCCGTGGCATCATATGAATTGTCTATTAAAAAAAAAAACCCAACAAACCAGAAAACCTTTTTACAATGGCCATAACAATTGACATTCCTGTCAATGACCACTTTTTCTGCTTCATCCAGTAAGACTCTCATACAGAATGCAGCCTTGAGATCTATTTCTTTGATGCATCTTCCGAGTTTGTATTGCAGCTCCAGTATTGCGATGTTCATGTGTCACTGACACTCCCCCCCTCTTCACCTCAGCGAAGGGGGCAAGTTTCATGCTGCTGTATGAAGGGTGTTAAAGAAAAAACGTCTGTCGTTTATCCTGACAGTATATTTTGCTCAGTGGAACTTGAGTTAGCACAACTTTAATACAGTTCCATTTTCCATGTTTCAGCACTTCACAGTTTATAACATAATCTTGTTACATGATAGGCACAACTGACCCAAAACGCCAGATGTAGAACTTGTCAGGTTCTTTGGTAGGAGCATATCTAGCTTTCACAGCTATCGTATGACATAAAACTGTGCAGAAAAAAGACAGCAGTCACCTTGCAGAAGTTAAGATTGACAGCAACCCTATCTGCAACAGACTGGTCCCAAGTCAACTCTGTAATTACTGTGGAGAAATCTGTGTTCTGTAGTCTGGGTCCCACAGTAAATCGTTGAGATTTATAGTTCAGTGCTAGTTCGTAGATAGCTTAATAGACTTGTATATACATATGTGATTTGCCTCTTCCCTTTCCAACAACTACAAAGATTGAATAAATGGTTGCCAAAAGTCTGAATATGCGATCCACTGGGTGTGCAATTCAACCGTTAGGTATGAGTAAACAAGTGTTCATAGCTGACCTTCTGTATGAACGTGGTAGGGCAGAGTCTGATCTCTAGGATATCCTATTTGGGCTTAAGCAGGTACTCTTAAAGTGATAGGAACTTCTTCAATATCAATATCCAGAAGTGAATACTCTAAGGTAGAAAAGACTGCCACACTCACTCTCCTGCCAAATCCTTGTTAGCTGTAGAACTAAACTGTAGTTGCTTTCAAATAATACCTCAATCCAAAATATACAACCCCTTGAGACAACATTCTTGTAAAAATTCTGACTGAAATCACATTTTCTTCCCCCAAACTGTGCTCAAGGTTATTTCTTCCTCTTCCTCAAATATAAACAGTTGTTTTAGTAATGGTAAGAATGTCTGCTTTCTCTGTGCTTGTCAAGCCCATCAAGACTATACAAAGCTGCATTTTCCATGTTGTCTCTTCTCAAATGCAAGATCTCAGGCTGGAGGAAGACATAGGAAGACATTAAGTGTCTTAGCTCATTTATAAGCCAAGCAAATTAATCTTCCCCTTCTGTATCTTGATTTCTGTTTTAATGTCCTGACCTAAGACAGTAAGTACAAGGTGATAATTGTGAAAACTTGAAGATACGTAGAATGATATAGCTTAAAGATTTAAAATTAATTTCTGTAGTCATTTCTCCATATGTCCTTCATTCATGCAGGAATTTTCTCTGCTGTGCATTCTCAAGCGATTTTTCCAGTTCAGTTTTTAAAAGGCTCGAGCCACGGTGAGGTCACTTCCTCTGAGAAACTATTAAACAACTGAATAGACTGCGTTGATTGGAGATTGTCCTGCTATTAGCTATGTACATAGGTATGCAATGTAAAATCTGCAGCTATAGATAATACCCTGTCTTTGCTAAGGCAAAGCCCTGAGCCTATCCTGAAACCTCAGATGTATGTATTAAGCTGAGCTTAATAGATGTGCATATCTTGTCCTTTTCACTTGAGGAGAGAATTCTGTGGCCACTATGCACAAACTTAGTGCAAACTCTCCCCCACCATATACAATGACAGTCAACAGTACAGTAGAAGGTCTTGTACTTTCTTAATCCTCTTCTGAAGCCTCAGTACTGCAAAAGGTTCACTGTCATAAAGAGCTGCTCTGAACCATAAGCCTAAGAGAATTGCTGGAATGAGACACAGTCAGAAATAAACCCAGCTCAGACAAACCACAGTAGGGTTTTTACACTCATTAATCGGATTGACTGAATTTGCTTGATCACAAATAAAAATTACAACATACTTTTTATGATGGCTTTTCAGATTTCAAAACAAATAAAGAGAAGCACAGGATACATACTTAGTGCTACAAATCTGGACATTTGCTACAAGGCAGTGTCTTATGAAGACATGGATTCACCTAAGCCTAACCTAAGCCCACATAAAATGTGAATAACCCTTTCCAAGTTTTTTCTGTACTGATTATAAAGAAAGCCTACAGCTACTAGGTTCCTAACACGGATGTTTCAGTGACAAGTAAAGAGTACAATGGGTTAATCCGATCCTAAATATCTGCAGATCTCTGTGATGGAAAAAGCCTGTCAAATGAAATTACATGGAGTAGTAATAGTATCAGGTACCAGCCAGAAAAACTGAAGTACCTTTGCTAAATGTTTTTTTCCTATAATTTATTTATTATCTTATTCTTTTTTATCCACTTAAGCCAGCTGATATCAGATGATTCTCATCTATAGATTGTTTGCAACATAAATACAAGATCAGGAACACCCTTCATTAGGGATTTATACAGTTTACAGTAGTAACAGGCTCACTTCATCAAAAATGTGTTTTTGTCAAATGAATGCAAGTCTTGTGTACAAATAGTTTTGTAAGAGTCGAAATTTCATATACAGTGAAGGAGTTTAAATGCTATTTATTATCTTTCTGATATGAAAGTGCAGGGAAGACTGAGAACAAGTTTCAGAGTCCTTGGATCTTTTATCCTTGACATACCTCCAATGAGTCTCCATCTATTTCTCCTTCTAGTTCCAAAGCACTGCCAACTGCATCAGATAAAATTTCTTTCACCAACCCACAGAATCTACAAAAGCAATAAATAGCACAGGATCAAAGAAAAATATCCTTTTGGAAGGAGATTAAACAGATTCTTCGCAAGATGGGCTTTGCTTTCAAGATAATAAACTGACTAGCATGTTCATAGGTTTCTTTCACTACTTACTTTCTCCATATTTATCCTATTTTAAATGAGGAAGAACATCAAACACACACTGAAAACTTATAAAATAATTTTATTTGCTGTAGCAGAACCCAATACTTGCTTATTATTGTAATTGCATAGTAAAATCTTGGTAGATCCAACTCAAATATTTTTGCTGTACATTTTGATGAGAAGTGCTTAGTATGGCCTTGTCTTTACAAATGTAATTAGAGAAAAAGCTGAGATATTAAAAAATTAAGTATTGATTTACAGAGTTTTAACTAATTTCATCTAGTTCTCTGGGATGGAGATCCTTAAGTACAAGACCACCTTTTCATGTGATTCTCTGCCTGAGCCAATCACATTTTTCCAAATGCTATGACAAATGGTTAAATTATTAAAAATTATTCACATCTCTTTCGCTGACTAATACAGACACATCTCTGGAACAGAATCCTGTAGTGCACTGAACAAGGCATTAAAAAATGTGACCATGTTTCATAACACACAAATTGTGATGCCAAATTAAGGCTGAGTAGGTAACATTAATTTTAGTATTTCCTATCTTTTATGCAATGCACTCTGCAGAGCTAATAATTTTCTTTAATCTGAGTTTATTCCATGTAATACATCAATAATAATTATTGCAAGAAAACCAAATATACCATCCAACCCCAAATATTAAGTGTATTAACAAATCACTCCTACTTCATTCAGAAGGTTTATATGCCAAATATCAGTTCCCAGGAAGAATTTGGTCTGTAAAGATTTAGGCCTGAAATTCAGTTGGCATGCTTACTGTTTAGAGACAACATATCATCAGGAAATATTTGAATACAGGTGCAAACAGTAAACAGATATCTGTGACACAATATAAGCTAGAAATTTATATTACATCTGGTTGCTCTTACTTAAATCGAACTGGACAGGTACATAAGAGAACCTAAACCAATATAGTACCTTACATGACACGGTCAAGACAAAGAAAAAGAAGGTAATGGTTTAAAACTAGAATAAGCTGCTTAAGCCTTTTCTCAGACCTTACCACTTGTAGGTAAACTGATTAGAACCAGCCAACACGTGTAATGGGACATTACTGTCATCACCTTAAGTATGCACTGAGTTTAGCTCATTGCTTCTTCATCAAGAAAAAAGAAGTGAAGAAATAAATAATTAATTTCTCAAGCAAAAATGTCAGCTTTCAACCTTTACTAAATAAATTTAGGACATAAATCTCGCATGCAATACCCACACAAACTGAACTCACCTACGACATTGGTTTTCTGTAGAAAAGTAGATTTGAAAGTCGTCAGAATTGTCATGGACATAAAGGAAACAACATCGTTCATCAAACTTGGAAATGCTGTCAAATTCACATTAAGAAAATATTACTTTGGATGTAACTATTAGAAGAAATACAGCAAGGAGGAGTTAATTTTTTTCAGTTACAAACACTTAGCAAATGTCTTTTTCACAGTTAATTACCTCAGAGAGGCAGTATGTAATTATATTTATTTTCCTTACAACTAGAAGCTTTGAGTTTATTTATGTATTCTATAATCCTATCTCCAATTTGATAAATGATTAAGCTACTGCTTTGTTAAAATAGTGGTTTATCCAAAGTGTTTTGAGATTTGTTTGTTGTTCAGCTCCCCTTCCATTTTTACACAGTTCTGTCAGATTTCTTGGTATTTGATGACACCTCAATGGAAAGTGAATTGCTTTGACACTAATCTAGCTATCAGTAAAGCCTTTCTTTTAAGCTTGACAAGTACTTCTGGTTTTTATGACTCCATTACTCCTACGGTAAAACTAAACTGGGAAATACCTACAGTGTAGCAGATCCTTCACAGTGTACACTTTTTATGGCCTGAATACCGATAAACAAGTTTTGGGATGATGAATATTTACACCAAACTACAGCAATAATTCTGATAAAGTGATTACTTATTGTATATTGTGTCTTGCCAGTATCATATATATCCCATCTAAGCGCACTGAAGCGAAAAGTGAAGAGACCATATAACTTAATATCAATATGAAAGTAAATCTAGGAATTAATCTCTTATTCCAAACACTTTTGTGCATTAAATTAATAAAATTAGTTAGATTCCTGTTTGATCTGTTTAGTCAAACGCTCAGATTTTGCTTAGCCTCTGTTGATCCAGTTAGTTAAAATACATGACGGTAGACTACAGTCAAGTTGCAGAATGTTACAAGATCAACTTGCTGTAGCACCATTAAGGGCTACATGGACAAATGTCCAAAAAATTAGAATTTTGCCAGAAGATTTTTTCAGAAATATGTGAAAATACACTACACCATTCTGTAGCTTCATTCTGGTATATCAATTTCTAGTCTATTTGATTATCTATATTATTAATTGTATTATCTAT